TTATACGTTCATTACATAAGAACAATCTTTTTCAATGGCAAGAAGTACAGTGTTGCATCATGGGTTGTTTATAGTCTGAATATCTTAATATTAGGTAGGCAAGCGAGTGTTTTCAAGTCCGTATAGCGAGTCCTCCAGAGTTATTCAGTACTAAAAGTTTAACCCACAGGAGTTTCTAACAGCTGGAGGGTTAGAAAAAATGATTCTGAGATAGGAATGACAGTGAGAGAGGGACTGCCCACACCATATGTTTTAAATGTTTTTATAGGATATTGCACAAAACAATGAAAATGTTGCCCTGCCTGACTTTTACTTGCAGAACAGAGAATGTGTCCTCTGAAACATACATGAAAGGCAGATTTGTTATTAACAAAAGGTCATGTGTTGAATGTTTCAGTGTCTAAAAAACTATGTTTTCTACAGTGGTTCAATCTGTGGTCTAGGTGAGCTTGCCAGTTGAGCCAAGTGTTGTTGTTTTACTTGTTGTTTTACTAAGACAACTGTTCCATTCTTAATACCACACTTCCCTTTTTTATTTCCCACACAGGTCTGAAGGGCAAGTGTGTTGCCATGGAGGTGGCCATTTTTTTTATCCTGGTTGTGCCATGCTTAACAGGTCAGGTTGCAGATGGAGGGGCCAAACCCAAAGCACAGTCTTGCTTCAAATGCCAAAGCTATTATGTTTCAGCTCCAAAACAGATAAGTAGAACAAATTGCCTCTCATCCAAAGTAATGGCTCATAATTATTTGTTCAGATAAGAAGGGTTCTGGGTGCAGAAAAAGGCATCAGATGGCTTTACTGTCTGGGTGGCAAGTCGACCATTGATCTGTCCCGATGCAATCTCACTTAGTAGAGGTGAGAGCAACTACGCAGTCTCAAGTTTTCTTCTGGCTCATTTCAAATCAAACTTTGAGAAACTTTGTGCGGAGCTGCTAATAAATAAGGATCACCTTCAGTGTTCTTTTGCCAATTTCTATCTTCTGGACTGTGCAAGGACAGGGTCAACCCAGGCCTTTCGTCTTCATGAAAGGGCTCAGTCTGGTACTCCCACAAGGCCGCACTGCAGCGCTGCAAAAGGCACTTTAAAGTTTGTGGGCAGCTATGTTCAAGTTCCCAGGAGCTGCAGCCTTTGTTTGGCCCCATGTTGCAGCTTAGTCTATGTTCTCAAAGACCTAATATATAGTTGCTGAGCTAAAATATTGGTTCCACTTCATTGTTGGCTGAATAGTAACTGATAAAGAACCGTCTGCCAGTCAATGCGTAAATAAAGATCTTCTTGACAAACCTTGTTCCATCCTTAAAAGGTAAACGAAATTGCTACCTTTCCTTTGCGTGTTAGTGCCTTTGCATGTATGTGTGTACACATGGTCGACCACTGAAAGCACTATCCATCTCAGAGTAATAGTATAAGAATTAGAAACAAAGGTAAAGTTATATGTTGTATGTTATAAAAATGAAAAGGTACAAGGATAGACTACATTTTATGATGCATATAAATAGTTGGTGCTAATGTCTTTCTGTATTAAAATTGCTTGACGTGTGTTGCATGCTAATTGTCATGTTGAAAGAACAATATGTGTTCAATGATGTGGACAGGACAGATGAAAGTCGCAGACTATATTATTTATGGCACATTAAAATAGTTACATTAATGATCTACTTCTTTTATTTTTTGTACATTCTTGTACTATAGCAAAGCCCAGCCTTGTCTGGGAATTACATTACTATTGGAAGACTCTACAGTAGATTAGAGTAATTTCCATTGTTAAAGTTCAATAGTTTAGTTTCTTTATGGATGTTTAATAACTTGAACTAAACTACACATTTAAAATGTATAGTTTTACTTGTAGGCATAAGAACTTAACAGTAAACATAGAATATGAGTTGTAATTTCACATCATATGAATGACTCTTACAGACATTTTGTCATATAGGGGAGTTATGACTCCATGATCTTTTTTTGGGGCTACGTGACTTGTATACGACAGGTTTTAAGATGCATGTTCAATCCAGAGGCATGGCTCACTTAACTTCTGTGATTGTTGGTGGAGCAACTAAATGCAAAGAATGAGACCTATATCAACAGAGTTGTCATAACTCTGAACATTAAAACCACTGTAGGTTAAGAACATTAGCTCCTGTAAGCTGCTGCCTCCCTCTACATTTTGCCTTTTTATCCTGAATCCTATGATGCCCTGCCCAGCTAAGGAAATCCAGATGGCTCCCTGAGTTGACAGATGACAGACAGCCTTAGGGCCACTCTGTTACAAACAAACAAATCAACGGCTCCAACAAACAGTGTTGTACTGGATATCTCCTCCTGCCAGTCAGCTCTAAGCTCCAACTCATGCTTCTCTATTCTGTGTGTGAGAGCGAGAAATCAATATGTAATCATATTCACACTTTCTTTGGCAGGAGACACTGGGGGCAGACATGGAATTGAGACGACCGGCTCTGCGCAGAAAGGGCACAGGAGAGGCCAAATACATTCAAATCATTTTGTCTTTGTTTCACCTCTTCCACAGCAGCCTGATTCAAAACCTCCCTCGATTGTATTTGACAGAGGTGACTCATTTTCAATCAACTCAATTAGTGTCACAGAAGAAGCATTTTGCGTCGAGATAGTTTTTACATGGTTTGATTGAGTGGATGTACATTCGTTGAGTTCTACTCCCCTCCACATTTTCTGCTACATGTTGCCACCTGTTAGTCAGCCACATTGGAAACACACTTTACATACTCTACCCTTTCACAACAGAAAGAGCTAATGTGTCAAACCAATCCATGATAACTGCTATGATTTTTCTTGATCTAAACGTTAAACATTGTCTTATGCTTATTGCCTTGCCAAGGGCACCGTTGCCTCATGCTGTTCTCATTACTTACTCTACCCAGAGCCCGAATATGACTAATGCCACCTCCCAACATATCAACCTTAGAGGAGGAGCAGGGTGTTGCAGTCACATGCTAGTTATGGCCAGGGACATCATGATAATTACTGACAGCGTGTTCATTTCACACATGCATCAAAATAAAAAATTAAAAAATTAAAAAAAGCTGCCACAGTGGGAATTAATTGGAATTCCAGCAGTGGTTAGTGCCATACTTTATTCTTTACAGTATAAAGGGAATTAATTATTAATTAATGGGCAGCAGGAACCGTGCTTGATCTAGGTAACCTCAGTGATTCGTCAGCTTGTCTGCTAACTACCAGCATCTCTGGATAAAAGAAATACTGTCCGTTTACAAACTTCAAAGTTGTACATCTTACAGCAGATGAGTTCGGTACTGTAGAAAACAGCTCTAGCAATTCTACATCACAGCCATTAAGTATTCATTCCTTATTTCCATCCCTTTCAAATTGCAAGCGCCAGTGAAATGTGTGGAGACAGCAGCTCAGCTAAATTCAAAACACGCCAACTGTATTGTGGCTAACTGAGGGCATGAACATGATTATGCACATATATTTCCTTTGTACTTTGCATCGCCTACCTTCAATCATGATCACCTTTTTTTTCACATATACATGTATGACTATTTCACAGTGAAGGAAAAAGCTGCAAAAGCCTGAGGTCCCCTTTAATTAATTTCTTCCTAGATCTCTATAATGTGTGTGCATATCATATACATTTTCTATCAAATTCCTCTGGTCTTGGGGATTTAGCATGCTTTGGATTAACTTAATAATTATTTTAGGTGGGCAGACAAGCCTGTTTTGTTGATAATTTTGTACTGTCAATGTATTTTAATTGGGGAGTAATCCTGGTCGCTGGTATGGGTGAATATTTTGTCCTTATCATATTAAAGAGTTAATAGACATGTAATCCAAAGCATGCATGAAAATCTAATAACACATTAAAGATCATTTTTGAAGACAAGACTGAAATATTTGTACACTAATCAAAGCTGACATTTTCTGCTGAAAACTAAATTTCCTGAACTTTGCCCCAAAATTTTGCTTAACTCCAATATTGGAAATACTGTGTACCATGCATGCATACAGTCAAGTCAAATATACACTAAATTTATTGACAGTACTGACAAATTACTTAGCATATTTGGGAAGTAATTCATAGTTGATAATGATAACAGAGATCAATCATATGGGTTGGGTTGTACTGTTATTTACCTCGGTTTCTTAAATTATATCAACCTTACTATTGATGCCTGAACCACTGAGCTGAGTCAACACACACACACACCCACGCACACGCACACACACATGAACGCACGCACGCATGCACACATCCACTTGCCATAATTTGCAACTTAAACTAGATATACAGGACGGACATCAATCATCTTTACAGTCCACTCGCACTAACTCCTTCCTCTTACCAGTCAATATATTTCACTTTTCCAATTTCATCCAGCACTCCACCCATCTGGTCTCAGACTTGTGGCTCATGATAGGAAAAAAAAAAAACATTTAAGGAAATAAATAGACCCTTCTGTCTCCCTCCATTTCACCATCACCTCAGGAGATAAGATGACAGAAACTGTTTTCTCATCTCCCAAGGTATGAAAATGAATGGTGCTCGAGAATATGGAAGATTTGCAGGCAGGGGCCTACAAAATGTTGCAGACTACTGGCTCAGTAAACTATATTCAGCTCTTTACCTGAGAAAACTTTATGAAAAGTAATATCTTAATAGCACTTCAGCAAACATGCCACACTGCTTTGTTGTGTTGGTACTAAACTTTGAGGTTGGTTTGAAGTGATGAAAGTGAGGTTGTTTTAGCGCTCGTTTAGCAGCAAGGTTCTGCCTTGACATAATTAAATCGGTATCTTAAAGCAAACAAAGTGGTTCTCCATAATTCACAGCACCAAAAAGCTTGCCACAACATAAATATCAATGACTTAAAAAAGGCATTCAAAATGTGATGACGCATTCTGTATAAAGTTCAACATGAGCAGAGAATATCAAAGTATGAGAAGCAGCAGATTGAGAAAGTTTGTTGAAAAATGAAATTCCCCTACAATGGGGGAACATGATACCTTCGTTCTTACCTTCCTCCCAACCCTGGGGACTTCCTGTCTTTTCATTTTTCTCCCGCAGGTCCCCGGCAGCCACTATGCTCCATGTGAACTCTGGGATACCCTCCTGGTGCTGCTCACATGTTCTGCTATTGCTGGGGCATCTGTGATCTGGTGAAACAAGAGGCATTTAAATGCAAATGGCTGCATTGACAATATTTACACAAAGAACATAATCAAAATGAACGAGCATTGATCAACTAAAATGAATCTTGAAGCCTACTTACAAGAATCTTAATCAAAATCCATTGGGCAGGAATGCTAATGCCAGCAGTAAGATATTTGTTTAAATGCTCAACAAATACCAGGCAAAAATTATTGAGCATAGCACAACACATTTAAAAATACCTTGTTTAGATTGATTAGCAAGTGAAACTTTTAATGATATGTACTGCCAGGGGAAGGGAGGTGCTCAGTTAAATAAACATAATGTTGCAGCTGCACCATTTAATGTTTTGATTGAAAGTCCACAGTTTCAACAAATGAACCGTGCTGCTTTAACCAAAGTTTAAATAGTAGTTTTCAAACAAACAGTTGCAAAATCTAATATTGCTGCATTCAGTTTCAGTCCAGATTTGACTTCAGCTTTGACAGACCAGATAGAAAAGGTAATAAATGATTCAGGTAGGAAGAACCTTGTCAGTTGGATGTTGTCTATTTTCAGATTTAATGGTCTCATACCTTTGGTTGGAAAACACTATGTTATGTCAGCCCACATAGCAGGAAGTAACTGTTAGTGCATGGTGCACATTATATTAGTGGGAAGAGCGTTCAGCGTTCATGTAAAAATTGCTGCTGTCAAGCATAGGGCTGGGAATAATACAAATTACAAATAAAAACTTGTTCAGAGAGAAAATTTAGGGTCAGCTCTCCTCCCACTCAATCCTCTGTCTCTATCTTTGCTTCCATCTGTCCTTCCCTCCCTGTGGTCAGACCTCATGCAGACACATCCCTGCGGCTAGGTAAATCACTGTTGAGAGGTCTTGGTTACTTTCAAATTGCTTCTCACACTAGGCTCTACAGGAGAGGAACTAGATTGCTGTATAATCATCTTCTATCATTTTTGCTTTTCGACAATAAAACAAAAACTCTTATCAATCAATACTGGACTGATACACAGTATTGACTGATAAATGTGTGCATTGCTATTCATCATTATGTGCCTACTTATGACTTTGCTCGGCCCCCCTTCGAATTTGAATCACATCTACAGCTCAATACGCTCTACAAAAAACCTCTAGATGTCAAGATGGATTTTCCGCCATTTTGAACCTCTTGCTACCAAATTGTCTGTGTATCATTATCGGACCAACCTTATCAAAAATTCCAGAGATTCCATCAAGATTGTTGATATCTTCTCTATCTATTGATATCTATTCTATGATGCCTGCCTGCTTGCATCCATCATGTTATTTCCTGCCTATTTGTGGCGGCAGCAGGCTATTGGGCATGACCATTTCCCACTGTCAACGGCTGGGGCTTCTCAAGAGGAGAGAGGAGGAGCATTTTTTTTGACATTCGTACATGTGCATTGAGGATAACCCTGGAATCTCTGATGGGTCACTAGTTATAGCCAAAATGTGCTTGTCAAGGTGTTATTGACTTAGCATCCACTGTTCAGAGATCAGTTTTGATGATATTGCAGGCATTACACACATGTGCAGATGTCTTTGGAAGGTAAAGTTGCCCATTAGAAAATTATTTCCAGTCTTATCTTCCTGAGCATTAAGGGGCAGCAGTAGCAAGTCAACAAGCAAATTACACAGTATTTTAATGTCTCTGTGCAACATCTGCACCAAGTTTGAGACAGAATATTGTTACACAAGAAGCGCAGCTTTTTTCAGGAATAGCTCAGTATGTAGGTTGTGTGCAAGACAGACAGAGGCAACCGGAGTTGGTTGTTTGGCTCTGTTTATCTATCTGTAAAAGCCACCATGATATTGATCAACAAACTTCAAAAGGTTGTTGCTCAGGACACAAATAGACCTATAATCACAAAACTTGCAGTAATTGTCCACAAACTGTAAGTACCCGTAACATACCCTGAATGACTCATTAAAATCTACCACTAGGAGGTGAGACAAATTCAAAAAATGGGTGTGGCATAACAGCTATAAATAATAGAATATAAATGAGAATTTGTTTGACCAATTATTCCAAAACTCACAGGATGTTTCATAACAATGTGTAACCACGTGTAAAATTATTTTGAAATTGCTCAATAAGGGGTGAGTTTTGTTTTTAAATTTTAGAACAGCCGGTGAAACCCTGATACCACACTTACTGAAAAACCTTCATCTGTGCTGTTATTCTTCAGATAAGAGACCTAACAGGCTACAGAGAGCACGTATCAATGTCACACAGGGCTGCTGCTTTGATCTTGTGTTTGTTTCAGTATACACAAATAAACTAATGATACAAGAGCACTTCTCAAGTAAACTCTGCAGAAGACATGGTTTGAGATGGCCTTCTGTGTAAGGAAAATGAAAAAGCTCTAACTTTCTCTGAGCTTCTCTGCAAACACGTTTTTGAATAGTTACAGTGTTATAAACGCAGTTCTTTTCCATAGTTTGATGTGAAGTGATGACTTTTAATAAAGTGGCATGGTATAGGAGCTTTGGCTGTAAATACACTGGCAAGAGGAAAAAAACTTGGCAGGAAACTGTACCTACACCAGAAAGTGAACTTTACACAAATTAATGTCAAGATGCCTGGGAGGAAATCTGTCACATACATTGTACAAAAAAGATATACTGTCCTTCTGCAGTCTGCCCTCTCAAGTCCTAAACATTTCTTTTTGAGTGCATAGTGTGGTGCTGAACATGTAGTTTGACAATTAATTTTAGCAACATTCCCAATTGTTTTTTTACTAATTGTATACTATGATTATAGTATATAATATTTCAAGCTACAGTGTTTAGCATATGTTATGAGACTTAGAAGTTGCATAGTTGGAGCAAGTTATCAATGATTTTAGGTCTTGGACTAAATGTTTAAAGGAGTTTTACCTAATGAGGTGGCATCAAGGCTGTATCAGGCTGCACTTGGCATTAGTTAAAATGGCTGTCCACTAGAGGAGGCAGCTGCCCTTAGAGGAATCGTAGCAGCAGTCAATCCCAACCACTTAGTGCCAGTAAGGGTAATGGTTTTCATGCTGAAAACTTGTCATTTGGCAAAAACATTGATTCCTGTAGCTCATTGCCACTGGGGACCTTGAGGGCTGATGAGATGTGGAGAAATTGAGAAGCTCAAGGTTGTAACAAAAGCTAATTTCCTTTCCTTCAATAAATGTCTATGTTTATTCAGCTGTACAAGGTTTTAAAGTTGAACTGAGCTGAGATCAGCACAGTTCTTCTGACTCAACTAGGTATATAGATGCAAACAAACACATTCACTTTCAACTGAAGTTTGCATTGATTGTACGAATCACCAGGATTTGATCATCGAGGACTACTGATATTCATTAAACTTTTAACAACTATTTACTTCAATGCATAATGTGTATTTTTTTTTTATTCTTTGTTAACAAACGTTAGGTGCCATTTGTTCAGCTTGTTTCTCTGATAACATAAGTTCCAGAAATCCTCTGTTAGGTTTAATATATAGTTAAAAACTACCAATATCTAATATGTATATTGTAAAAATGTGGTGCAAAACTGGTTAAAAGTCCATTTTGACTTTTTCTGGCAAACAGCCACAAAGCTGACGCGTGCAAACAGGATATGATGCCATTGACAGGCGACCAAACAAACAGACCATTACCTTGATTAAAATTACGGATTTTTCCTGGACTGAAAATTGCTGGAAACACTTGGGATAATGTAAGTAGACACATCAACAAAATAATCTAGTCTAGTTGTTTTTAGACATTTTTATGTGGGAAGGTTACATATTATTATTATATTATTTAATGTCAATCTATCTTACACTGTGAACTGACATACGGGTCACAGATGCTGTCAAAATGACTGTTTTATAATCTGTAACAAAAATAGTACAGCCCAAAATTTATAATGAAGCTGTGTTTGAAATAAATGTTTGAGTGTTCATGCCTGCATATGGGTATGTTTGAGAATATTTTTAAAAACTGGTTACATGCATTTACATACTTCACATACTCACAGAAGCTAGCGTAGACATAAGTTTCAGAGCTGTCTCCTCACATTTTTCCACCCTCTGATATCATACCAATATTCATGCATGCAGAAACACACTTGGAACACTGACGAGCTAAGCACTTCTCTGTGCTGCCAAATGGGGATGAGAGATATGATTCAACTGTGGTGAGCAAGATCTGGATCTGTCATCCAATTTCGCCCACCTTCTGCATGTACAAAGTGACTAAGAACTGATGACTTGCCAAATGACCAGGGACACGGCTTTTACGACCCATTCATTCACATCTTTGATTTTTTTCAAAACCATAACATCCTCTGAATGTGTAATCATATTTTTTTTTTGACATTAGTGAGCATGGGTTCATTTACCTTTTGATTACACCATTCAACAATTTAATCAAAGCAACCAGAGGAGCTATTCAGTGAAATGACAGGTACCATAAAAAATATTTCCCACAGTTTGAATTTTCCCTTTCTTGTCTGTCTGCCAAACAGTATCCTTGGTTGCCCCCTAATGTTTTGGCAGAGCACTGTTAATTAGGTAGGTAAAAAAAGTAAAAAGTTTGCCTTATTATTTGATTTGTCCCAAAGCACAGATTAATTACTGGAAACACAGTTTGAAACTGCAATATCGCTGAGAAGAATTTGTGTGTTTAATTTTTGTTTGTATTTAGTTGCATTAGGGATCCTTCTGAAAATAATTTGTTTTCTGCCAAAATATCCAATCTTACAGAACAATATTCACTGGTAGTGACCACGAAATTATTACACTTTTTATGGATATGTTAAGGTTACAGAAAGATCATAATATGGTTTAATATTAAACAAAGTTCACAGCGACTTCAGACAAAACATTTGTTCCCAATTAACCAAAACCACAATCTTTTATTTTCACAAATAACAAAATTATTTTCAGAAAAACCCTAATAATTAGTAGTTATAATAATAATGAATAGTTCATTCTAGCCGTCATAAGAGAAAACAGATATGCAG